CATCATTTCCAGCAGTCATCTTACCGAACAGTACTCTAACACCGATCGCTTCAAGCAGTAATCTTGATATCCATACTGGTTTGCCATAGGCTGAATGTCTATATAGCTTTACAGAATAATATGTTTAGAATTCCCGCTCATAAAATGAATATAATGCACATCACTTCCACAAGTTAAGCAATGCTCAGTACCATTACCTAAAAAGCTGTAAAGAAATAAGAAAAGCAATGTTAATATTCTCAGTGTTACGATGGCAAGAGACTTTTGGGACACCTTGTAGTGACATGTCTAAGTCCTCCCATCAGAGTTATGATGGAAACGGATTGTTGGGACACCCTGTAATGGAATTTCCAAGCCTTCCTCTCGATGTTACTATGGAAACAGACTTTTGGGACACCCTGTAATGGCATTTTGAAGCCCTCCCTTATTATTAAAATAATATACTTAACAAGTGCTAATATTTACTATCATGAGATGATCATTGATGAATAAAGGAAACAGTAGCAACTGTTTGTTTGTTTGTAGTTAAGCGTAAAGCTATACAATGGGCTATCTGTGCTCTGCCCATCACGGGTATCGAAACCAGGATTCTAACGTTCTAAGTCCGAAGACATACCGCTGTGCCACTGGGGGAAACTCTAAGGACGAGGATCTCTTCTCTAACTTGTATTTGAGGACATGATTTATTAATAAAGATTCTTTTCTACGTATCATTCCTAAGACTATCGTGTATTGCTATTTAATACATAAAGAAGTATTTTATAGTAAAGCCATTAATTGGATCCGCGCATTTATATGCCATTTTTCAAGTTCTTAAAGAAACTTGACGTATTTAATCCTTTGGTTAGATAAAAACAAAAACAAAATATTCGCTTAGAAAAACTTAACACTAAAAATTGCATTGTGGCCAAAAGCACGTACGTAGTTTACACAACACCTTGGATCTTCACGTGTTAATCTCGATAAATTCTTAAGAGATTTATCATCGTTGAATTTGGTTACAGCATTTTCCGACACTTTGTATAACATGTTCGTAGCTAATAATGAATTGCTGCCTAATGCGTTGTGTCTTCATCATTTTCGTAACCACGTAGAAAAAAATAGAGTATTCAAAGCTGATAAAACTATTTTGCAGTGTCAGTGTTATCACAGGGAACGTATATGTGCTGAAGCTACTTAACAAGTACGAAGTCAACATCAAAACCCGCTTAACAGTAGCAGGTAATTTCAATTTGAAAACAAATGTTGTGCCAACATAGTTATCACTTGCACAGAAAAGTTAATTGATTCCTGTTAGTTGTTATTCGTGTGCGCATGCGTATCACAGACAAGAACTGGAAATTAATTGACTGTCCAAATGCATACTTGATACAGTACACAAAAGTCCCTAATGGCTTTGATATTTCCTAGATTACAGTTTGGAGCTGTTAGCTATACATCTTCAAAACAAATACCATAAAATAAGAGGTCATGTTTTATCAACATAAATTAATTCGTTTGAATATTAGCTCGACTCGGAGCTTATGAAGTAAACAAACAAATCCAGGTATTTAATCTTGCTAGCCCGAAGAAGGTCCTTGAATAAGGTTGAAGTATTACTTTTGTATGCCCATTTCGCCCCTGCTCTATTAAACTAAGACTACTAAAGGTAAAACAAATATATTATTTTATTTTATACTGTTGTCGATTCTGTGAAATCACGCATCGAATTAATAACAGTTTTCCAACAAAAGTTGAATGAAGTTCCAGTTTTCCAGTTTTCTAGCTCAAAAACAAAATTTTCTATAGTTGTAGTATAGAGAAAGTTATGCGTGCAAACTATTATGGTAACAAAAATAAATTATAAAATACACATACACACATATATACATACAATTTTCACTTAATTAATAGTTTATTTTTATTGGCATAACTATAGGTACCTCGTGATAGATATGAAGTTTATGTGTTTAACTATGTAGGGTATATTTACTGGGCATGGTTTAAAAAGAAAAAGAAAACAAAAAACCGGTTAAAATCATCGTCAGGGAAAATGATTTATGTACATGGTCAACGTTTCGGCCAAATGACCTTCATCGAGATCTGTCGTTTAGCCGAGTCGCTGTCCACATAATTCGTTTTTCCCCCCTTACAGTTATTTTAAAAAAATATTTGTATTTTACAGATGTTATCACGCTATAGCTGCGTTTCTTTGTTACGGGCGGACAAATATAGGCTTAGGTCAAGAGTATAACAAATATTGACGCTGTTAAAATTGTTGAATCATACGCCAAAGACTACCTCAAACTTGGTGGCGCCACCTTCTTTGGAGTTAATCTCTTCTAATTTATTTATTAATATGTTTTACTTTATCTGGATTAGCAGTCTTAGAAGACTTAACAAAGTTACTAGATTAACATAGTGAGTTCCTAGTCAGTATCAGTGTCAGCTAGCGTAGTTTGTAACAACTAGTCTGTAATTATATCTTATGAAAATCATCTTTGCGAAATGTGAGAACAGGAGTTAATTTGGAAAAGAGAAATACCATATTGAAAACATACCTTGCGCATCCAAATGTCGAAAATATAGAAATAGTAGCAGCAGGATAATTGTTTAAGAAAGAGTCTAGTCAGCCATCTATATAACCGAGCAAAAGCGCTCTAGAGATATTCTAGAATGTGTCTGTATGTTTGTTTGTAATTAAGCACAAAGCTACACAATGGGCTATCTGTGCACTGCCCACCACGGGTATCGAAACCCGGATTCTAGCATTGTAAGTCCGCAGACATACCGTTGTGTCACTGGGGGGCAAGAACGTGTCAAGTTGGTCTTTATTATATCTTCATTGATACCCGGGATGGACACAGAACAGATTGCCCATCCTGTACCTTTGTCTCTTAACAATAAAGAAAGAAAGACAGAAACACGTTATAATTTAGCATTATTTATGCGCGTAATTATTAAACATTAATCATGTTTTAATTTGCACGTTTTATATTGATCACGAATGTGGCTAACTTATGAATATGTCCTAATGTTCTAGCTTTATATTAATCAACTATGCGGCTAATAAACAGTAAACATGTTCTAATATTTTATTACACTGCACATTAAGCTTCTGATTATTCAAACACCAAAATCACCCCTCTCTTTGCAAAAACTATAAATTCAAAGATTAAATTATCTTAATTCCATTTCGTGTTCACGGTATCGTTATTAAAATGCTAAATTTCTCTTAATGTTCTACATACTAATATTTAGAGATGAAACATACATACTGTTCTGGTTATATTTTTCTCGACAAAAACAAGAATCCCTTCGTTTCATGCTTTCGTTCTTCCATTTACATAGAATGATATGCTGAGAGATATGTAATTAAAAAAGAGTTAATTATCGATTGATTGGGCTCTTGATACTATGAAATATAAACAAAAATGTGGATAGTATTGAAAAGTTACTTTGAGTTACTACAAATGAAATCAACGTGAATGAAAAAGGACATCAAGATAAATGACACATCTCTGTATTTATGGAGATGCATGAAATCGATGTGAATGAAAAAAGACATCAAGATAAATGACACATCTCTGTACTTATGGAGATGCCTGAAGACATTTTGAAGGTATATGAGACTCGTGTAAGAAGGACATGTTGTTGTGGTCAGTCATATAAGCATCTTCTTTACAATGAAAATAATGATGTATATATCAGTATTCTTAGTAACTTACTGCGTAAAAGTTGAATTGTAGATCTTTTAATTGGCGTATTTTCTGGTTAAATACTCCTCTTAGCATCTTTCCTTACGATGATATTTGATTTCTTGTCTTTCCATTATAAAGTGAGTTTAATTTCTTTTAACTATTTAACTCTAAACGGATACACCAATAGACGACTGTGGACTGGACAAATATCAAGTTCCGTCAGACCAATTAACTATACCTAGTTAAAGCTATTATTTTTTACTAAAGACGCTTGATGCCAATTAGAATTTCTAGGTAAATTATATGGTGCTTTTGAATCTTCAACAAATTGTAACTGTTAATTTCTATAACAATTCTCAACATTTAGTTATTTATATTCTATATGAAATCTAGTTTTTTTTGCTTTGGGTTCTAGCAAGCTTTAAAATGAGCCTGATTGAATGCCTGAATCTAACTTGAAATAAATAAGGACCTCCGATCATGGTATTTTAATAAAGTAATTAGTGTTCGCAAATTCTTTGATCAGGAAACTCTTAACAACAGCCGGTTAACAGTTACATAACATATATGAAACGAGGTTTTCACGAAACTTTTTTAATTTGTTTTCTGGTACAGTTCACAATGCAAGCAGTTCACCGGCTTCATTCGAGGCTAGACTGACAGACACATCGTCATGAGCCAATTACTTTCAGCCCCTTCCCACCTCCCCAGGGGGAACGGTTTATCATTCTGTGACAGCCCCCATGACTAGAACTTTGATAAACCACAGTTGTCGAATCTCCTGGCTGTAGCCACTGAAGAGGGAGAGATAGCAAGAGATGAAGTATTAACTTGTTCGTGAACGGTGACGACTCAAGAGCTCGTGATCACTCACCATAATCTCCAGGCTCTGCAAGGTTTTCACCATTGTTATTCTAGCTGTCTCGTTTGTATTTTCATTTTAAGGGTAGTTTGGAAGAGAGAAAGAATCCTGCTTGAAAACCAACAGAAGATGACATGATGCTGTGCTTTGTGCTGTGAGCAAATTGAGAATGAGTGAGACATTTTTAGTTAACGGATATTTTATGTTATAATGGTACTCTTGCAACCACCTAAGTACACACGTTTATGCTTGTGGTGGAAGTCCTTTTTCAAGTTACCCTTCAACTAAATTCTGTCTCTTTCATTATAACGTAAGCTGGTGTACTTGTAGGAGTGGGGACGACCATTAGGCGGCTACCAATTTTCCTTCATTATTTACTTTAGTGTGTCACGTTACATGAGTCCTTGCCGAATCCCTCCCCCCCCCCTTACCCCTGCTCCCTATCTTCTCTTTCCGCTATAAACTGTCAAGTGTAGTGGGAGAAAGAAAGAGACCTTTCTCGGCACGGTTCTCCGAAAGCTGCAACTTGATTGGGAATTAAGCGTGCTTCGTTTAAATGAAGACGTTTTATGTGGCTGTCGTCGGAGCGAACTGAGTATTGATTGCAGTCAGCCGCAAGCTTTGTAACTGAACCGCTGTGCTTCGCGAGCTTCGCCACTTTATCGAGCTTAATAGTGTTCTCTAGCTCGGGAAGCTGGTCATTCACACAGAGCGTTCCAGCGGCGTCAGTTGAGAAGCTGTACGACGCGACAGCTATTACTGTAACTAAGGGCCTAACCTTCGCTTATAGTTGAGGGACTAGTTAGTGGTGGTTTGAATACGCATCTCTAGTGTGTATCATCTTAAAGTGAGCCATGCACCAGGACAGACTGTCCACGGTGTCCCAAGTGTCGCAGTTAACAAGTCGAACATGGCATCCCCATGTATACGCAAGGCCACCCAAACAACCAACACCACACTTCATTTCAGATATCTTAGGGCTCAGAGACTCATCCCTAATGTCATACCAAACAAAAAACTCGAATGATAAGACCCAGTTATACAGCGAGGATGAACATTCTGGACTAAACGGTGTTCCTTTTAATGGTATGCGTCAACTTTCAGTAAATGATAAAGTAAATTCAAGACCAGACAGTGAGGGACCACTAAACCTTTCGTGTACGACTCACAAAAAAATGATGTCGACATCGTCTCGAAGTCCTGTTGCTCCTAAGTCAATAGACAGTTTGGTGTATAAAGAAAAACTTCCAATTGTAACAACAGAGCCAGTTGATAGCAGATCGTCTTTGTCTCAGTCTTCTTTGGACAGTTTCGTACAAGTGGATCCTCTAGGCCTAGTTGATAAAGTGACTTCTTATGCTAATGAATCTAACATTAAAAAGCTTAGTGATGCCAAAAAACTTGAAGATTCGGGTTCAGGGACCGAGGATACAGGAAGTCCAAATTTTCCGCTTGGAGGCGCAGGTGAGACCTTCTGCCTAATGGTTTGATTATATTGGTGAAGTTGTAGCGTCAAACAATATAAAAAATGACAGACTGTTTCACATGCTGTTATATGAAAATGAGGTAGGAAAGTAACTATGTATATCGGAATCTAACAGATTAAATAATTTGTATATATAAATACAAGTTATTACACGTATTGCATTACGTTATTGAAGCCATACTAATAATTGTGCACATTTTGAAAAACAACAACATCAACAAATTTAATATAGTGTATAAACATAAACGACAGTGTATGTAACAGCCATTAATATTGTGAGAGTTTTAGGTCAATTTAGGATTCCGAACGTAGATCACTTAACAATGATTAATATACTACACCTGTGCATAAACTTGCATAGTCGGTGTTGTTGAATGTTTAGTAATGCGCTTTTCGGTTCTGTTTAGTACGATAGTGGTGATAAATTTTAATTGCCAGAATAAAAGAAAGCAATAACAACAAACAAACAAGAGTGTCATAAAAATTTAGGGCTAGTTTTGTTTCACAATTCGAGTTTACCGTGAACAAAACGTTCAGTTTTATGTAAAATTCGGATTTATTTATTTACATTTCTGGTTCATTGTAAGTAAAACCCAGATGTTACAAACAGATCGGTTGTATTATGAATAAATAAATATTACATTTTACCTATAATTCGAGTTTAATTGAATAATGCATAAGGTTTCATTTGCTTTTAGGGTTCATTCAATAACAAAAAAGGAATGAGATTTGTCTCTTTTTTTAGAGGCTAATCACGATAAAGTAAAAGGTTTTGGCATAATATTCAGGTCTAATGGTAGTAAAAAAATAATTGTATCTATTTATTATTATTATTATTATATATATATATTGTTTTATCGACATTAAACCGTTGCTATTCGAGAAATACTTTGAGTAAACGGAACGAAATGCATTGTGTCTTCAGCTGCGCGCAACTACAAGTGTTAATGAACTTTGTTTATGCACAGGAAAATAATAATTTCTGGAAAATTGTCTTGCAGTTTTTAGTAGCTTATTCTGAAATATTAGATGGAGACACAATCGTTTTTGTTGTTGTTGTTTTTTTGCAGCATTCTTCCTTCAAAGTATTTTTAATTGACCAGATTCTTTACGTATGGTGTCTTAATTAATCAGCAATCATGGCGGCTTCTTCAATTCTGTGGATGAATGGTTATGGTTTACCATTGTTCTCTATTCTTCGCTTCTCATCTCCAATCTATTTTCTAATGTCAGCCAGCCATGCGAGTCTCTGTCTGCTTTCCTCTCTTCTTCTTATGATCTTACCCATCAGGGTCTTTGCCAACTTCCCTTCAGCTCTAATTAATATATACCTAAAGTGTTTCCTCTTCTACTTCCTATGTATATGTCCAGCAGTTTTCTTTTCGTGTTCCAATACTTCCTCATTAGGTTTTCTTTTTATTTAGCTGATCTTCATCATTAGGCTGTAACATCACATTACAAATGCCTTTAACTTGTTTTGTTTCAGCAGACAGGGTCTACGTTCCAGCCACGTAGAATAGGGCTGACCATAAGTATATTTTAGTAGTGTTTTAATTAGACACTTTCATAACAAAGAAGTATAAATAATTTTATCCCATTGTGAAAAATACATTAACGAGGTTGTCTCATTAGTTTAAAGTTGGCTTGATGTTAGGGCCGAATTAAGGGAGGGAGTTACAAAGGGATGTTATTTCTTCGGGCCTCAACTAAGAGAAAATGGATGTCACATTGAAAAACTTATGTTTGCATCCGTGTCATCACGACAAAAGCGATTTTATTCATTTCATATAATTTTTTTATTTTGTAATTTTTCATTAACATGCTCATACAGCTTATTCTTTCATAAATATTTGCTCAGCGTAATAGCAAAAAAAAAAATCCTTGTCGTTACTTTATATTTACTATAAAATGTAGAATTAATATTTTGTATATTATATACTCATCTCTTCTATTTATGTATTGCTCAGACTGTAGTTAATAAATTGTACTGAATTGTGGTTGATTTATTTATGAAGTTCAATTCTGATGGCCCCCTACAAAATTTGTCCTGGGTCTCCCAAGTCCTCAATCCGGTCATACATGGTGTATTCGTTTAAAATGGCTAGGATCCGGGTTTCGATACCCGTGGTGGGCAGAGCACAGATAGCCCATTGTGTAGCTTTGTGCTTAATTACAAACAAACAAACAAATCGTTTAAAATGAACAAAAACACTATCTATGCTACCAAAATGCTTTTTTTTTAAGCCTAACATTTAGGGTACTAGTTGTATTCACCGGCAATGTATGTTACTCCTAAGGAGTAGTTAAATTTTTAGTGTTATCCAGGATTAATTTATATACCCGAAAAAAAAGTAGTGTTGAACTATTTTTAAGGGACAATTTACACAACGAAAGAACGTTGTAGGTATTCACTTATCTGGGGAAAAAAAATCACAAATTCACAAATGTTTCGCTTAATTTAATTGTATTTAGATACATGAATTAGAATAAAATCCAAAAATATTATACATCTTCCAATGTCGTTTCGATCACAATAGTTACACTAAAAAAAATTAACCCTAAATCAGGCGAAATCTAGGGGTGATAACGGTTTTATTTAGAAAAAAATCAGAAATTGAAAGAACTTTCATTTACAACAATTTACTGCAGAAGATATCACAAATCTTAAAAGAAGAAGAAGAAGAAAAATTTTTAGGTATAATCTCTTCTTCCGGTATTGCTTGCACACGTATCTTGATCCAAGATCTGTTCCGAAAAACATTATATTAACGTATTTTGTTTTTGATTTGTAGGTCATGCGCTTATCTCAGTAAGTAACTAATAATTAAGTTATTTTAGTAGAACAATAAGTCTGAGAAGTGCCTCAAGTTTTGAATGAAGCTTACATTATCTGTTAATCTTTGATGTTTGAGTATTTGAAGTATAACCATCCAATTAGTGGACATTATATACGAACTTAACAGAAGAAAAAAAATACCGAATTAGAGAAATGAGTGTTATCATTCAGTTTACTCTATATATGCAATTGAAGTAAGAAAAAGAAGTTATATAAAGAGAATTTTAAAATGTATGATGAATGCTACAGTAACCTAATAGCCCATCTATAACATCTAAATGGCTTTGCTTAAATTTTTGTTTAACAGGATGAAGCCATAAAAGGAAATTAGGGTCTAGCATGAGTTCATTGGATCGTGTCTTGTTGCCACAAAAACGCGTTCTGCACTGTGAGGCCGTGGGTGGGCTATAAGAGTGACGGTCAAATCCACTACTCGGTCAGATAAGAAAAGCCATAGAAATGGCGGTGGGCGCTGTTTACCAGCTGCCTTGCCTTTAGTCTATCAGTTCAGTTACAGTCAGTTATGCATAAATACCGATTTTGTACTTTTACGTGAAATTCTAAAATAAATACATAGGAAACTGATAAAATTAAGTTCCATTTATAAGCTGGACAGATTTGATTTGTCAGTCGCTAGTAAGTTTCTGCGGACTTACAACGCTAGAGACCGGGTTTCGATACCCGTGGTGGGAAGAACACAGATAGCCCATTGTGTAGTTTTGTGCTTAATTACAAACAAACAAAAAAGCTAGTAAGTTTACTCATCTTGAAGACAATCCTCCAATAAGAAACATTCAATGACAATTTTAACATACATAATAGTTAGGTCGGAATTCTCATTGCTTTTATTGATCTTATTAGGTCGAAAGTAACATTACTAGGTCCATAAGAGATATGAATTTTATAATTTTGTATACGTATCAATGACCTAAAGCAGTGGTTCCCAGACTTTTGGCAATCACATACCGGTAAAACTGAAAAAAAATATATTTCGGAGAAAAGGACTAAGGCGACTTTTAGTCATGAAATATTGAAGAAAAAAGCGTAAATAAGTGTCAATGCTTTCAATAGCCAATACATGTTGCAGACCGGTAGGAATTAATTCAAGGACCAATACCGGTTCGAGGACCTAAATTACTTATAATCTAGAACAACTTTTCTGTTTATGGTAATAAACTCATAATAACAACTTTTCTGTTTATGGTAATAAACTCATAATAACAACTTTTCTGTTTATGGTAATCAACTCATAATAACAACTTTTCTGTTTATGGTAATAAACTCATAATAACAACTTTTCTGTTTACGGTAATAAACTCATAATAACAACTTTTCTGTTTATGGTAATCAACTCATAATAACAACTTTTCTGTTTATGGTAATCAACTCATAATAACAACTTTTCTGTTTATGGTAATAAACTCATAATAACTGATCAGTTTCAGGACAGAAAGGTCATGTTTTACGTACATTTGAGTTTAATACAGACTGAGTAATTTCACAGTGTCTTGAAAAACATAACTAAAATTATACTTAACACCAGTTTATGTTGAAGTATTCTTCCCAACGTTGTATAAAATAACAACGAGGCTTTCCATGGTCTGGGGGTTAGCATGCTTGATTCACAATGTGCAAGTCGCGGGATTGAAACCAGTCGCCGAACATGCTCGCTCATTCATTTCAGCCATGTGACCTTATAGTGTGACGGTCAAATTCCCACTATACGTTGGTAAAGAGTGACCCAAAATTTGGCGGTTGTTGGTGTTGACTAGCTGTCTTCCCTTAGTCGATCACTTCAAAAATAAGGATTACTAGTGCAGATAACCAACCCTTCGAGCAGCTTTGCTCAAGCCCTCCAGCCCCCCCCCCCTTCCCCAGTGGCACACACAGCGGTATGTCTGCGGGTTTCGATAGCCGTGGTGGGTAGAGCATAGATAGCCCATTGTGCAGATTTGTGCTCAACTAACAAATAACAACAACAGCTTTGCTCAAATTCAACAAAACAAACAAATAACCTATTATATGGAATTTGAAATACCAGTTTAGAGGCGATGATATGCGAAAGTAAGAATAACTGTATTGCAGGACGTCTCAGCCAATCTGCTCCTATTAACAGGTATTTTTCTAAGAGAGAAATACGCA